GATGCATCTTGCATTCCAAGATCTACCATTCAGCAATGAAGAAGGCTCTTAAGACAAAATACCAGACGTTCCTTCAATGGTACCAATGGTCGGTCCACAAATGCCATTTTTCTAAATTGATAATTATTCTTCGAACCGTGCTATTTGTCTTATAAACTCTTTACTTTTGGGACTCGAGTTTTTTGAATTGAACTAACTATTTTTTGTGCTTAAATACAACAGTATTCCAATCTCACTTGTGATTGAGTGCTTATCATCGTCTAGTTTGTTTTTATTCATTATTGTTTTTTTTTAGTAAAACAATAATTTGGTGATTTTTAATACTTTATAGTTTGAAAAGCAATAAATTCAAAATATTAATTTTCCAATTGAAAAGTAACCTAAATATCTTATAGTTACTTAACAGGGTATATGGTTAACTAACTATAAGATATTTAGGTTACTTTTCAATTGGAAAATTAATATTTTGAATTTATTGCTTTTCAAACTATAAAGTATTAAAAATCACCAAATTATTGTTTTACTAAAAAAAAACAATAATGAATAAAAACAAACTAGACGATGATAAGCACTCAATCACAAGTGAGATTGGAATACTGTTGTATTTAAGCACAAAAAATAGTTAGTTCAATTCAAAAAACTCGAGTCCCAAAAGTAAAGAGTTTATAAGACAAATAGCACGGTTCGAAGAATTAATTATCAATTTAGAAAAATGGCATTTGTGGACCGACCATTGGTACCATTGAAGGAACGTCTGGTATTTTTGTCTTAAGAGCCTTCTTCATTGCTGAAATGGTAGATCTTGGAATGCCAAGATGCATCACAACCATGTTTCTGTCTTGTGGTGACAAGTGGACCAAAACATGAGCCATCTGTTTCAAGATGATGTTGATCGTACGGGTGAGTCTGATCTCCTTGAGTTGCATGAACTGAAGCTCATGCTCTGATCCAAACAATTCCATTGGCGAGTTGCTGAAGTATCTTCTCCTCTGTGTCGCACGAAGATCAAATTTCGATCTGTATAACTCCTCTCTCAATTGCATGAATTTCATGTTCAATCCGTGTAAAACTTGCTCCGCTCTGAACGATTCCTGTTCCTCGACGTATGGGAGCTGTTGTCCGTACATGTTGATGAATGGCTGCGCACGCGCAAAAACGACCAAAAGTAAGATTGCAATCATCGTGTAAATATAATACACATTTTAAAGATCTGTTCTTTTGAGATCATCCCATGATTTTTCTGTTCGACAATCAGTTGTTTTAATGGTTTTTTCTAACATTAAATTTACTATTATAGACCTAAAACAAACATTTGTTTTTATTTATTTAACACATTTATTTTTATTATTAATATTATTTAACGAGTTAATTATTACAATGAAGTAATAGTAATCTTATATTTTAATTAATATTTATTATTTAAACGTTTTAATTTAATGTCTTTTATTTTTACCATAAAATATATATTTTATAATATTAAATTTTACTATAATAATAATAATAAAATTAACGCTATTTTAAATAAAAAAATACGTTAATTAAAATCTACACGAAAACAAATAAATCAAACAACAAAATAAAATTAGATTTTTTTCTTTATTAACTTTCAAATTTTATAAATTATTAATTAATTAATTTTAAATATTTATAATTTAATAATTTAATAATTTAATGAATAAAAAAGTTATTTATATCAAAAACAACCACATCAAACATTCAGTCTTATACTTCTAGTAAACTAATTATAATAAAACCATAATGAGTGTTCAAATAAATCACTTCAATTGCTCGTTGAACCACTTAATGTATTGTTCATTGAATACCTTAATATCCTCATTCTTCTCAATGATGTTATTTGAATATGGGAATCTAAGTAATCTACTAGTAATTCCTCTTCTCTGGAGTGCTTGGAAGAGAGAAATAGGTTGTGACTTATCGACAACGAAATCGAGATCTCCGTAAGAAATGAGAGTTGGTACCTTATAATTCGCGACATTTTTCATCGCGTCATTCTTAGCGTACCAGAATGGGTTTTCGTACTCTACGCCTTCATAAACGTGTTCGAAAGTGTATTGAGCGTCAGTGTAGTAATGAGATTTGATTGACAATATTGGAGCGTGGACAGCGGCGCACTTAAATAAGTCCGAATCCAACAAAGAAGGTACAATTCTTGATGCTCCAATAAGTCCGACCAGTGCAATTCGAGTCGAGTCAATATTATAATTATTGAGTTCTTTTACCATACTCTGAATGTCTTCAATTAACACGGCGTTATCTATTTGACCGTTTAATCGTATCTTTTCTCCATACCCAACACTTTGATGTCCATTCATTAATAACACAGCATACCCTTCACTCACTAATGTATAGGAGTTCATCACTTTATTAAACGAATCAATAGCAGTCCCATCTTCTTCATCATGGACAATCACTACAACAGGGACTTTCTCAGTGCTTTCTGGCTTAAATAATAATCCAAAGATTCTATCAGAGAGTGCGGCCATAGGTCTTACAATAATAGGTTTTGCGAGACTGTATTGAGTGTAATCGTTCAGTCGTGTTAAGACTTTAGAGGCACTCTTTTCATCGAAAAAATAGAGTTCACCCGGTTGGTAACTAAATGACTGTACGGCTACAATACAATCGCTCGAATCAGCACATTTGACTATATCAATCATTTCTATAGCTCCTTCTGTGTTAACATCAGAGGTACTCCACACTTTCCCTTCAACATCATACACCGCTTTATTCACACTTAACACCTCCCATCGATTATTCACTCCATAGACTTCAATAAGAGTCTCTGACTGTCCTATTTGAAGTTTTGGCGTCGAAACTCTGATAGTCCCATCATTAGTAATAACCTCTTTAGTCTCTCTATCAATAATAACTACTACTTTGATCCCAGCTCGCTCAAGAAGAGACGCCTTTCGAACAAACACTATATACTTCCCTGTTTTGGTCACCTTTGGAGACATCTGGTTCCCTCCCATCTCACACGTCACACACACAATGTCCGTCTTTCCAACACTCATCGTGTAAATGGACGATTTCTGGTACTTCGCTTTGTCGTCAGCAGTGGCAGTGGATTTCGCTTCGATAGCAATAAACGTCTCGTCTTCATTAATGTGATACGAAACAACTTCCCCAACAGTGGGAGTCACATCGACATAATTACTCAACGAGATCCGACCGGCCTCGTCTACTTTAATCTCCGCAGAAATGAGGTGGCTGTACATAGGAGTCCCGTCATCGGTTGTCGGGACATAAGCACTTCCCTGTCCAAAAGGAGTTTGTTTGAAGACGTGGTGGGACGTCGTCTTTCTCTTCAGTAACTCAGTGTATTTCTGTTCTGAAGCCATCACTTCCATCCCATAGAAAACTTGATGGAGGAAATAGACTCTATTTGATAAGATAGTTGGCTTTGTTAATGACAATTCGCTTGTAATGGAGTATTCCACTTCAGTGTCATCAATAGAGTACCATTTGCACTCATTGGAGGCATCACATTTGGTGTAAAAGACTTCGCCAAAGGTTTGACTGTACACAACTTCTTTCCCAACGTTGTCTGCAATTTGTATAGCCATATCAGCACCACTACAGTGTTAGTTCTATAATATACTAATGAAGTACTATACATTTTATTAATCATCATTAGATACTATAATATAGTTTGTAAAACTATTAAAATACTATACATGATCGAAGAGGAACAAACGAAGATGGAGTGACTTGATATAACGTATTTTTCTTTGTAACATCACCAGACTCGACAATATAATAGATGTTGTTGCGTTTGTCAGTCACCATCGAAACAACGTACTTTGTTTTGTTGAGGATATCGTCCGTCGTTAAGGAAAAGACTGCTGCTAAAAGAATAAAGAGCAGGAGCATTGGATTATTCAGTTCCGTACTTTTCATGTTTACTTCGATTTTCTGGATTTGGGCTTTCTATTTTTTGGTGACATTTTTCAGTTCGTCGAGGCGGTCCTTCTTCTTCTTTCTGTTGTTCTTCGCCCCTCGTCGGTAACTATTAACTATTTGTTATGGTTTGTTTATTATTAATAATAGTTTAATTTGGATAATAGTTTCAACAACTTTTAAAATTTTTTCAAGAATAAAAAATTCGATTATAAGGTTTTTTATTTAAAATAATCAAAATAAATATTTTAGTTATTTTATATGTAATAGTATATTTAAATTGAATAAAAATATTTTGGTTGATTTTCATCATATTTACGGTGATTATTTGTTTATAAAATACATAATAAAACCATTCAAAAAGAAAAGTTTTTTCACATTTTTTTTAGTTAAAAAAGCCATATTGACTAATAAATATCCCATCTTTTCAAACCTTTAAAAATATAATAAAAATACTATAATTAATAATAAATGAATGTCACAGAAACATTTTCTAATTTTCAAACATTTCAATTGAAAATTTCGTTGGACATAAAGAACTCGTTCACATCTTTTCTGTAATTAATTAGATGCGGTCATTCTTCCACCGTATTGAGGAACAAAAGGAAGTCCGTAAGACTACTACGGCATCAATAGAAAAAGTACGGCAATACCTAGTGACAAACAATTATAAGTTACTTCGCTATTTAATAAAAACTAATGCCGTTCTGATGTTACCACAACCCGCTGTTTTAAAGGACTTTCCTTTATCAAATGAATTTATAATCTTTCATTCAATTTACTTAAACACGTCAACAGGCAATTTTATCACACTGAATGGAGTCTATGGGAAAATTGAGAAGTCACAAATCAAACTATATCCGTTTCACGAAGCATCACATGAACGACTTACACAGGAACAACTCTCAACTCGGATGAGCAGTTTTCACGACTTAAATGTCTCTGCAACTTCAACATCGAAAATTGTCGACACGGACATCTTAGTGGACAGATCTGAGATCTTACCAATCCTCAATTTGAAGTCACTTTTGTATTATGAGACATGCGCGTGGATGTGGAGGAGAGGCTTTACAATGACTTTTAAAGAGAACAATGAGTTTTCGATCTATCGCGAGTTCCAACAAATTTTAGATACCATCCGAAGGGAGACTCCTTCCTTAACAAAAATAGAGAAGGAAAGTCACACAAAATACTTCTGCTGGGACTTCGACAAAAACACAAAAAGTTCGATGGTAAAACAAGAGGAAGATATGAAGAATTTTTATATGAAATTATTAATGCCCGAAAGTCAGGACTTAATCGCTCTGATTCAAAATTTCGTGAAGGGCTTCGTCCAGTTGGTCGAAGGAAAAGAATTTGAAAAACGAAAAATTTATATTAACGAGTGCATCAAATTAGCGAAGGAACGTGCTTTAAAAATTCATTTGTGGGTGGTCGACTGGGATGAAAATGGTTTTGTCAATAACATGAATCGACTCCTTATTAACAAATTATTTAAACATCTATGGCCACCCACAATTTCCTTATCTGAAAAGATATCTTTCGATAGTATAGAAAGTGATTCGTTTTGTTATACCTTGTCAAAGTCACATTCAAGGCTATTGCCCAAGCATTTTGGGATTGATGTGTTTGTTTTATTATATTATGCTTTATTATATAATATAATAAAAATATTAAACTATAATATATTATACTATACTATATAAAATAATTTATATTTTATAATTAATATATTAATAGTATAAAGTATAATATTTATATTATAATAATAGTACTAATCTCTAGCAATGAGAATGAACCAGGAATGAAAGAAGCAATGAAAATGCTGTTGAAAGTTGATAGTGTTTGTACCCCTATAGAAAAGATTATGTATATGTTTTGTTCGTTTAAGATATTAGAACAATTAATTCATTATCATTTTCGAGACAATGTTAGTGCGGACTTACTGTTTCCGCTCTGTCTATATATCACTTTGAAGTCGGCGTTACCGAATATCGACTCGACAATATTCTTCATTGAACAAATGCAGATGCAAATTAACTCGGAAATGATGTATTACTACTGCAATTTCTTGGCTTGTAAAGATTACATCTTGACGCTGTGTTACAATTCACTCAAAGACACGATGAGTATTCAAGAATATGAAACGGTATTTATGGAAGGGATGAACATATTGAAATGGCCCATCCCAAAGACACTTCTCGTCCCTCAAAAAATGACTATTCAAAAAGTGACCAAATTCGTTAATCAGTCCAGCGCTGTCCAAAGTGAGGAAATTTCAATTCAGTATTACTTGTCACTGCCACCAGACGAACTCACATCAGAAGACTTGCCTAATGTACTCCACTTACTCCAAGACTCATATGCTGAAGCAACTTAATCTATATTGTTACTAGTTGTTTTTTATTATATTGGTGTTAGGAAATTTGAAATACAAAGTTTTCATAATAATTCATAAAACCTAATAAATCTGGTTCATTTGATTTATAATAATAATTAAAATAGAATATATTGTTGTTTGAACATTTTTGACCAAATTAATTGATTGTACAAAAAATAGTTGGAAATAAATTATGTATTGAAATGGTTTATTATAGTATTTAACAATAATAAATAATTATTTATTATACTTAATAGCATTTTTATTATTTATTTGCTATAATTTTAAACAATAACAATAGTTAGAAATATTAAATAATGAACTAACAATTATAATTACTCACTTTTTGAAATTGACAAAATGATTTTAATGTGATGGAATAAACAGTAAATAAAAGGGGTGAAAATAACAAGTAATATAAGAAGCAACCCAACTCGAAAAAAATGGTTTATATTTCTTCTTTGTCTTTAGGGTCACCTTGTTGCTGTGTGTCATGATTCTGAGTGTTCTGGCTATTTGCCATCTGTTGAGCCATTTGCTGAACTTGTGGGTTGTTTGCAAGGTCGTTGAGGTTAGCGTTTCCCATCATGCTTTGTGCCATATTCATCATATTTGGGTTGTTCATCATATTTTGTGCCATTGACATCATCGCGGGGTTACTCATCATCGACTGTGCCATTTGTTGAATAGCCGGGTTACTAAGTAATCCACTGAGTAATCCCGAAAGGCCGCCTTGTTGATTTTGTTGTGGGTTTGGGATATTTTGTTGGGTGTTTTGTGGAGATGGTTCTTCTCTTTGTTCGGTCTGAGGCTGTTCGAC